CCCCTTACCCGCCCCCCTGGGGCCCCCCTAGTTTCTTTTTTTTTTTTTTTTTAAGAATTATTTTATGGGTGGGAACCAGCAGTTAGCGTAATGGCTATGTCGCTAGACTCCCATGTAGTCGACCACAGTTCAAGTCTCGGACCTGGCGGCTTAAACTCATGCCGAGTGCATGTGCATGCATGCCCAAGATCCCAGGAGGAGAATGGAGGAGAAGGGATTACAGTGTGGCCATCCCCCCTGGGCGGTGATTTCTCGCTTTCTATCTCTCTGTCTCTCTCTGTCTTTCTGGTGAGCGCATGTGCCCCATAGCGAAAACCTCTCCAAAAAAAAGAAAGAAAAAATATTTTATGGGGCTAGCAGGTGGTATGGTGGTTAAGGGTGCTGGACTTCCACATGGCTGATCATGGTTCGGGTCCCAGACCTGGTAGCTTGCTTTCTCACTTTCCCTCTTTCTCATTCTGTCCTTCTCTGATCAAATTAAAATAAACAAATGAGGGAGCAACAGTTGGAGTAATGGCTATGTTGCTGGGCTCCTATGTAGTCAATCGTGGTTTGAGTCTTGGACCCGGTGGCCTAAACTCATGCCAGGCACGTGTGCGTACATGCTTAAGATCTGATAGGAGGATGGAGGAGAAGGGATTACAGTGTGAACATCTCCCCTTGGGGGGTGATTTCTCGCTTTCTGTATCTCTGTCTCTCACTGTCTTTCTGATGAGCGCATGCACCCTGTAACAAAAACCCTTCCCCCCAAAAAAGTAAAATAAATAAATAAATAAATAAATAAAGTTTAAAAGAATTATTTTATTTATCTTTATTAAAATAAATGTTAAAAAGTTAAAAAAATTATTTTATTTATCTTTATTTGTTTATCTTAATCTGACCAGAGAGGGACAGAGCAAGAGAGAGAGAGAGAGATATACAGAGGGAGAGAGAGAAAGAGTGGGAAAGTGCGAAAGCAAGCCACCAGGTCTGGGACTCGAACCACAGTTGGCCATGTAGGAGTCCAGCACCCTCCACCACACCACCTGCTGGCCTCCTGACTAGTAGTCATTTTTAACAATCAATGCACAACATTTCTGAACATTTAACAGTTTGCTCTCAACTTGGCTGGTTGCAACTAGAATTCTAGGTCTCTCTGTTCACTAGAGAAGACTACCAGGAGGTATGATCACTCCATGCTTCTCTTCTCTATTCTATAAATGGGGAGATAATAATGGTATATACTTTGAGAATTGTGTTCAAGATTAAATGAGATAAGACAAGCCCAGTTTTGATGGCCCAGTTGGAAGAAAACTGAACCGCAGTGCTGGAAACCACACAGTGGACTGTGGGTGGATTCACATCCCTGGTCTAGTAAACTTGAAACATACTGGTTGCTTACGCACTTGCCCAAGATCTCAAGGAGCTAGAGAGCTGAGAGAAGACAACTGCAGCATGACAGGACCTCAGGGAAGGCATTTCTGTCTCTCTCTTGCACTTGCACATTCTCTATCGTGAAGAAACTAAGTAAACTTAGCAAGAAAAGCCATAAAGCATGTATTGAGCTTACTGGTGTCCTGCATATATGATAAGAAGTGTTTAAAATGTGTTACTTATCGATATGAATATGGCTTTGCAGGGTGGGGAAGGGTTGCCACCAGAGCAAGGGGCATCATAAGCCGGGGTGCAGACAGGCAGGAGGTGGGGTTGGGAGGGGCTTTGGAAGTTGATACGATCTTGTTACAACGGGCAACTGAGATACCACCTGGTCATGGGACAGGATGTAGAGTCGAAATTTCTGCATCATGAAGTATGGTTTAGTTATTTACTTACTGTTTCCTTCTTACTTCCTCATCTCCTTTAAGTCAAAGGGAGAACATGACCATCCCAAGCCAGAAACAAAGCTGGAGGCCGAGGCGAGAAGGGCAATAAAGAAAGGGCACAGCGCGTCTTCCTCTGTCTCCCTCAAGCTCAAGGAGAGCCCGAAGACCAAGGCACCATTTCATCACGTATGTTCCAAACGTACTGTGACTTGCCACCACCCTCATAGGGGCAGCAAGTTTCCCTGTCTCTTCTCAGCCATGGAAAGCCCTGAACCAGATACTGCCAGGCTCATTTATAAACAAGCATCCCCCAAAGAAACTGAGTCAGGCTTGACTCTTTTTCTTTTCTGAGAGATTTTTGCGATAGAGTGTGTGTGTGCTCGCTGGAGAGACAGAAAGACAGAAAGTGAGAAATCACCCCCCGGGGGGATGACCAAACCACAATCCCTTCTATTTTCTTTTGGGTACACACAAACGCCCAGCATGAGTTTCAAGCTGCCAGGTCTGGGACTTGAACCACGGTCAACTACATTGGAGTCAGCGACATAGCCATTATACCATCTGCTGGTCCCTGAGGCTTGACTCTTAAATTCTACTATCTTTGTAGTATACTCTCACCATCAATTGTTCGTAATTGTAGAATCATCTTCCCTACTATGACAACAAAGGGAAATTTGAATTGGTGAGCGCCAAAGCTATATTTGCCATTCTATATTTTGGTTCCAATAACACCAAAAGTAATGAAAGGATCTCCACAAAATATGAACCTCATGTTTTTTCCTTCTCAAAAATGTCTATAGACCCACAAACGGATTGTTTTCTTTGCATACTCTACCAAGATCAAAGAAGTAAACAGTTTCTGAGAGAGATGGTCACCTCAGGGTGGTGGTGTGAGGGTGGAGGGTGTTCCCCGAAGACGCACTGAGATAGGAAGGCCACTGCTTTATCAGCGCCATAGTCCAGGGGTGGAGGTTCTGCCTCACAGGGACAGCGATTCCTATGCGTTTTCTACAGCTAGAAGCTCCATGTTTCTTCTCAGAACAGAGATGGACTGGTTCTTCCCTGGAGGCTCTAAATAACTTACATAGAAAAGTTTTAATTTGAGTCACTTGGAGGGATATATGACCCCACTCCAAAGCCAAATGACTAGTCCCTCACCCTTTCTCACCCCCCAGAACTACTTTCTCTCAGCTGATTAGCTGATCATTTTACACAGACTAGAATATAGCTTAATGCTCAGCTGGATTCTTTTCCTGTGGTCAACTGGTGAACAACTTCATTTCTTTTTTTAATGATATTTAAAATATTTATTTAAGTATTCTAATAGAGAAAGGCACCCCAATAGAGTCTCGATCCACCTATAGCCTCAATCAGCCAGAATCACAGGCACACACGTGGCACGTTCAGGGAGACCTCAGGATGTGAACACAGGACTTCCCCATGTGGGCCCAGCATCACAGAGCATTGGCTTACTGCTGTGTTACCAGTTGGCCTATATACTTCATTATAAAAACAAACTTACCACACTGTGTTCTAGAGGTCCTATTTATGGTTCAATAAAATTCCTATGAGCTTACGGAAAAGTCTCTTGAGGAGGGGAGAAAACAGAAGGACAACAACCTTGGTCTCTCAGACTCTGACCAGCACTAAAACAGAGAAAAGTCAAGGAGAAAGTAATGGGGGAGAGAGAGGAAGAGAGACAAAAAGGGAGAGAGAGAGAAAGAAGGAGAGAAAAAACCTCTGAGAAGTACCCTGAGTATTGGGACCAGCAGTTGGCATAACAGCTATGTCGCTGGACTCCCACGTAGTCAACCATGGTTCGCGTCCTGGATCCGGTGGCTTAAAACTCACGCCAGGCACATGTGCATGTGTGCCCAAGATCCCGAGAGGAGAATGGAGGAGAAGGGATTGCGGTGTGGCCATCCCCCCTGGGGGGTGATTTCTCGCTTTCTGTCTCTATCTCTCTCTCTGTCTGTCTGGCGAGTGCACGCGCCCTAGAGTGAAAAAAACCTCTCCCCCCAAAAAAGAAGTACCCTGAGTATAAGTTGTTGATGCTATAGTTTGACTTTTTAAACATAGCTCTTTATAAGGCAGTTAGGCTCAGAGTGGTGTGTGAGTGTTGCACATCTTAAACACACTCGTGTCTGTACAGAGTAAGAGGAAATGTGGCCGTTACCAAGTGGTAAGCTTAAAGTGGAAGATGGGGGTAGCCTCTGCCTCTTCTGTGTCTTTGTGGTGGTGAGAAAGCTGCTATGTGTGTGGGTGCTCCAGGTATGAAAGGAATGAGGAACACTCGCTTGTGCAGGGTAGCTCGTGGATGGCTCTGGTAGTTTTGTCGATTTGCTTAACTTATTAACACGAGTCATTTTGCTTTCCCTTCCAGTCTCTTCCAGGTGAAACACAAAGCCAGGGAAGTTTACCTTTAACTTGGTCTTTCCAGGAAGGAGTCCAATTGCCTGGCAGTTACAGTGGACATTTAATAGCTAACGTTCCCCAGCAGAACTTGCTGAATGATTGCTTACCCTTCTCCAAGAGTTATAGTTTGGAGGCACCTGCCAATCTGACAGACCTGACTTCCACCCTGGATCCCACGAAGCTCAATGGAATATGCAAATTGCCCGACAGTAGGATCTACAGCAGTGGAGACCTACTTCAGCCTTCCGCCTCTGGAATCTACTCCGATTATGACCATCTGCAAACGTGGAATAAAAACACGGCTTTGGGGAGAAATCCTCTTCATGACAATTCTTGTCCCAATTATACTTTTCCTCTGACCAGATGGCCTTGTGACTTCTCCCCTCCCCAGAACTGTTTGGAACCCTTTTTACAACAGATTCCACTGGACCCACCTGCAGCCAAACCTAGTTGTCACCAGTCGTGGCCAAATCCAGCAGGTGATCTTTATGAGGAGAAGGTACCTGTGGACTTCCAAAGCTATGTTCCTTCCCTCGCCTACCATGCACCTCAGGAAGACCCATTTCTCCCTCCCTACACCTCTCATTATTCCCACCAGCAACAGCCACTGCCGGGCAAATGCAGCAAATGGGATTTTGAGAAAGAAATGGCATGCATGGGCTTGGATCATTGCAACAGTGAGATGCTTCTAAACCTCTATCCTTTGAGATGATCCAAATCATATAGACACACACATACACACACACCAAGGAAAAGCAATTTTAGGAAATAGGTGAGAGAACCTCCTTAGGAAATAATTTTCAAAATATAACCACAGATACATGGAATCAGGACAAGCAGCAGGCAAGACTAACGTTTTATGCAAGTGATCTTTTTCGCTTCTCCTCTAATCTAGAACTTCCAACCTTAGTAAGGAATGGAAACCTGACCGATTCATGGTGTCAACTGCCTCTGGTTTTTCTTTTTTTGTCTGTTTTTCTTCCTCTCTTCTCAAGTTGTTTGGGACCCTCCACAAGTCAGCTGCAGTATCTGTTTGTTCTTAAAATTGGTGCGTATCCGATGAACACAGATGTGAAAGGCCTGCCTACCTGGGATCTCATCTATGCCTTCTTGGGAACTGAGAGTGAAAGGACAGAGAGCTGTCCAGGTGCAGAAAGCCGAAGATCCTACCACTGAAGTATGTCAGGGGGCTAGTTTATAAAATATGTGTTTTTTGTAATGGCTATGTTGCTGGACTCCCACGTAGTCGACTGCGGTTCGTGTCCCAGACCCGGTGGCTTAAAACTCACACTGGGCGCATGTGCATGCGTGCCCAAGATCCCAAGAGGAGAATGGAGGAGAAGGGATTGCAGCGTGACCATCCCCTGGGGGGTGATTTCTCGCTTTCTGTCTCTATGTCTCTCTCTCTCTGTCTGTCTGGAGAGCGCTCGTGCCTTGTAGCAAAAACCTCTCAAAAAAAAAAATTTTTTTTTTTTAAGTTGACTTCTGAGACTAGTCAGGATAAGAAACATGACCTAACTCTGTTTCATAAAGATAAAGAACAGAGAAAGTAAATGACCACAAGAAGAAAAATTCTAGTGGCATCAAATGGTCTCTTCCAACTCTGCTTCCTTATTCTTTTTCCTCACTGACTTCCCCTTCCATGAAGTCTTTTTAACGATTATTGTCTTCATTGCAGAGTACATACACATGCATGAAAGAGAGGCAGAAAGCACCTCCAGCGGGTGTGGTCACACTGCAATCTCCTTCCTCAGGATGTTGGCACTTGTGTGTGTGCCCAGTGTGTTTTTCAGGCAAATTGGGCCAGAGATTTGAACTGCAGTTGTGATGTGGAATCTGGCTTCTCTTGAGTAGTGTCTTACCTCTGTGCCACAGAGTGGGCCCAATGACTTAGATTTGGTTCTGTTGATCTTTATTCTTTATATTTCCTACTTTAGTGCTAGGTTCATAATATGCGAGACATGTTTGCTTAGAAGGTTTTTGTGCAGTTAACATGATCAGCATTGGGTAGCTCTATCGGTATGCTGGTTCCTCCTCTTTGCTAAAGTACTTTACAATAAAGGTGAGCCTAGACACAAATCTGAACAGAACCATGCAGTAAACAAGATTTTCAAAAATAAGTTATCTTTTTTTCTGAAGGATAACATATACGCGTGATATTAAAGCTTACCCAACATGTGTTTATTTTTTTTCACAGAAGGCAAATTCTTTCCAGCAGAGTAAATTATTATAATAATTTCCTTTAATCAGAAAGGTGTGTTATAGTCAGAATATTGCAAAGATGGCTTCCTGTTCCCTGGGAATAAGGAGTAGGCCTTTTGTGGGAAACATCAAGATCTCATCCTACTCCCAGGTATTGTTATACTGAACTCTGAGCAACTCGTAAAGCCAAGAATAGGACCTTATAAATGGTATTAAGATGCCATGGTTGGGACCAGCAGTTAGCGTAATGGCTGTCACTGGACTCCCATGTAGTTGACTGCAGTACATTTATATTGTGTAGCCATTACTGCCGTCCATCAGATCTCTTTTCAGGTTGCAAAACTGAAACTTTATTCATTGAACAACCTCCCATTCTCCTCAACCAAGTCTCCGACAACCACCATTCTACATTGTGTTTCTATGAATTTGACTACTAGGTACCTCATGTAAGTAGAATCATGCAGTATATTCTTGTGAGTGATTTAGATCACTTAGCATAAGGTCCTCAAGGTGCATTCATACCATAGCATAAAAGTTACCACACAGAGGGTCCTGCAGGTAGTATGGTGGTTAAGACTCTGGATTCCCACATGGCTGACCATGGCTAAAGTCCTGGACCCAGCAGCTTGAAAAGTACACCTGGCATGTTCAGAATCCCAGGAGGACAATGGAGGAGAAAGGATTGCAGCATGATCACCCCACTTTGGGGGGTGATTTTTCACTTTCCCTCTCTCTGTCTCTCTCTGGCAAGCAGATGTGCCCTATGGCAAAAATAAGTTATAGCACAGAACATAACTGTTGTAAAGGTATGTGTAGTTGACAGGAAAAACAGAAAAAGAAGTGGAAAAGAATTTGGGTAGGGTCAATACATCCTTGCATAGGAAGGAATCGAGAGATGTTGACTGATGTTGATGGAATAATAAATGGTGGTTTAATATGTTATTTCAAGTTCAAAGATATCTAGCAGCGCATGAAGAATAATTATATAACAACGTACAGCAACAAAAAAGCAAGCAAGAAGAAGAAGATGGAGAAGAGAAAAAAAATAGTGATAGTGCAAGGACCTAAAACCCCATTTTTCATTCTGGATGATCAATAGAGATCCAACTTTAAAAAATTAAGAGAAACAAGTGTGTAATTTAGAATGATCAGAGTTACCTTAGGAAAACAAAAGTCACAGAAGGTTTAAAGTGACTTCCTCTTGGGACACCTTGAAGCTGGAATAGAACTTTTTAGTATAAACCCTTTGCATATACTATTGTATTATTTACCATGTACATATTATTTTGATTGAAAAATAAAAAATATAAATAAAAATTACGAAATGAAGTTACCTTTTTTAGAATTATTTTATTTATTATCATTATTACTTTTTAATTTGCTATAGAGCATGCACACTCACCAGAGAGAAAGAGAGAAAAAGGGGAAAAGCAAGTTGCCAGGTCTGGGACTTGAATGGTGGTCGGACATGAGGGAGTTTAGCACCTCAACCACCATGCCACCTGCTGGCCCCCACCAAGTGAAGTTATCTTAATGTTAGTTTGTCACATACACTTCTTTTTTTTTTTTTTTAAGGTTTTTGTCACAGGGTCCGTGAGCTTGCCAGAGAGAGACACAGAGAAGGAAAGTGGAAAATCACCATCCTTGGGGGATGGCCATGCCACAATTTCTTTTCCTCCATTCTCTACTCAGGATTGTGGGCACGCACGCACACACACCTGGCCTGATTTTCAAGCTGCCAGATCCAGGTCTCAAACCATGGTTGGCCATGTAAGAGTCCAGTGCCTTAGTCTCCATGCCACCTACTGACCCCATCTTATATACTTTTTTAATGGTTTTTGTAACTAACCATTGATAACATTTGTGTTTATTACAAAACTAGTAAGAGCTGTGATCCTATCCCATATTTTTCTATTACTGACATACTAGCTAATCCTGAAGGGTGCTAAATGGCTCTCTATTTAGGGGAGTGCTTTCTTCATAGAAAAGATTTAATCAGGAAATGGGCAAGTGGAGAGGACTGCCATCAGAAAGCAAGTGGGAAGATAATCCCTGGCCTTGTCAGCGGACTAGGATAGGGAGTGAGGGCAATTGGTAAGGTGTTACCAGCCTGTAAGGGTCCTGGACTCCAGATGGCACCTTAACAGCCATTATTTCCTTTTGTCAACCTGTCCTGCCAAGGACTGTACTGGCAGAGGTCAAAGCTAAGTAGATAATCTGGACAACAGGGCATGCTTGGAAGGTGGCAATGCTGTCTCGGTGGCCAACTGGGCTTTTCTAAGCTCAGAAGATGAATAAGAGGGAGATCATTCAAAAGTGGGATGGAGGAGTGAGGTCAAGGAAATAAGCTATTACATGTAGTGACTGAGGATAAAAAAGGATGAGGTGAATTTTAAAATCAGAACCAACTCCCAAACTTTCATTCTGATGTTCAAGATAGAATGTCTAACGTCTGACCACAATCCCTCCCCCAACATGAAAATAATGTACTTCAAGAAGAGGGGTATTTCAACACTTATTCACTTGTCCTACAAATATTTACATAGAGCATCCTCAGTCTCTTAACATTTTTATTTATTTATTTATTTTTTATTGCTAGAAGACAAGTACACTCACCAGAAACAGAGAAAGCAAACCACAAAGGGGCATGGTCACACTGCAATCCCTTCTCTATCTCCCCACTCTGTAGGGACATGGGGCATCCATGCACACACATGTGCCCAGTGTATTTTTTCTTGTTCTTTTTTGCCAGAGGTATAATCACTTGCTGGAGATAGAGGAAGATACAGAAAGAAAGTGAGAAATCACCTGGGGGGATGGCCATGCCACAATCCCTTCTCTATTCTGGGATTTTGGACATGCACACACATACTTGCTGGCATGATTTTCAAGCTGCCAGGCTTGGGACTTGCACTGTGAGCAGCTATGTAGGATCCCAGTGCCTTAACCACCACATCACCTGCTGGCCACCCAGTGTATTTTTCAAGCTACCAGGATTCAGACTGTGACGGACCATGTGGGATGTGGTGCCTGTGCACATCCCCTAACCACTGTGCGACCAGGATGGCCCCCCACATGAATTTTGCTTGACCAGTAGTAAAAACATATACCCATGGGCTTCTTTTCCTACCTAGTTTTTGCACTGCTAAGAAAAAAATTATTTTGAAAATCTAAGAATCCTCTGTTAAGCTTTGGGTGTTTTGATCTGTCACAGAGAACATCTGCTCATTTTGGTATAAAATAAAACAGCAATTGGACAGTAACCTGGAGACAAAGTTCTTTGGACTGATGCAGGATGCAATTTGAAGGCCAGGGAGTTCATGTTCCTTCAGGCTCTGTTTGTAGGATGTCATGCCAGCAATTTGCTTGTCGTGAGTACAACAGGAACAGGATCACTGTCCTCTGTGCCCTGAGGAAAGTACATAGCTTCAATCTGATTTCCTGTCTGTCATATGCCCTCAATAGGCCGTTCCCAAGGAACTACAGAACATCCCTTTGGAGAACTGCTGTCCACAAGCTGTTGAAACTCCATTCTGAGGTTCCACAAAGGCTGAGAGAGGAGGTTAATACTAAGATGTTTATTTTTAAAAAAATAATTCTTTTTATTTAACTTTATTTATTTACTTAAATTTGAC